AAAAAAAAAAAAAAAAAAAAAAAAAAAAAAAAAAAAAAAAAAAAAAAAAAAAAAAAAAAAAAAAAAAAAAAAAAAAAAAAAAAAAAAAAAAAAAAAAAAAAAAAAAAAAAAAAAAAAAAAAAAAAAAAAAAAAAAAAAAAAAAAAAAAAAAAAAAAAAAAAAAAAAAAAAAAAAAAAAAGAACGGTTACAAATCTTTTTAACTTTAGTAAACACAAAAGCCTGAGCTTCCTGACTTTATGGGCTTTTATTAATATTCTTTTTCTATTGATGGCCCATTAGTAAAAGGGTTTCCTTGTCCTTAAATAAAAGAAAAAGATATTGGGCCGGCTTCCAAATACATTCTTTAAGAGATAGACCTATTTTTTGGTCCATTTACAAAATATGGTACAAACAATAACACGTTGGACCAAGCAAAGCAAATAATAATCCATATGTATCAAGTTAACCAAACAGATTCAACAACGAAAGTGCGAAGGAGAAGCGCTGTAAATTGTCGAGTCGTTTATTGCTTTGATTTACTGTACATAGGAATAGGAATGCGTAATTGATGGTTTGTTTTGTCGTTTATTGGATAATCATTGTATTTCAGGACAGTCAAGGGCAGCACTTGGTGGCACGAAACAGACAAACTGCCTGTATCATTATTAGAGCAAAGGAAGGGAAATGAGGCGATGTCATGTCCCTTCCAAGAAAATCACAGCTAATCTGTTGAGAGTAACATAGACGTTTCCTTAATTGAGTAGATAAGTAAATACGTTTAGTATGTGGTTAAATGAATTGAGAGTCAAAGAGATAAAGATGGATTAATTGTAATTTAGGTTCATGTATTAGCATTAAATTTGGGGGATGAAACATTAGCTAGGAGGACCTGTGTTTCTTCAGTTGTATCAAGTATGAAAGTTTTATATGAGAATAAGAGTTTATGGCAGTTTTGGTTCTTCTCTCGAAAACGTTGTTGTTGGACTTTTACCTGCCTCAAAATCTAGTAAGCTATTTAGAACACGCAAAGAAGTACCAGTCAAATAAGCACACAATTTATCATTCCATTATCACACAAATATCATTAATGCCATAAAAAAATCACATGCGAGATATCAAATTCAATACTGGAATTCATTCATATAGAAAGGATACATTCAATATTAAAATTGGAAAGTCTGCATGTTTTCCCTGAACTGTAGTGAAATGAGGTTGATACTTGAGTGCCGTTTTCTTCTTCCTATTATTACGATCGATGAGTCAAGAACGCGATTTCTATCATATATTTATAGATGTTTAATTGAACCATGTAAATATTCAAGTTTACCCAACAAATTTCATATAGAGAGGCTGCCCAAGACGAAGTAATTGAGGTTAAATTTGTTTTCTACAATTTTGTTTGCCATAAATAATTAAGACACATTAATGTGCAAAACATTTTTGTTGGTTGAACTTGAGATTTGCAGGGTTTAAATAGAAACCTATATATTCGTTGTCTTTATCACTTGACTTGGCTGCTATTGAGAGTTTGAGAGGCCTTAGAACGAGCGTTTTCATTGGTTTTAACTAAGAATTGACAAGATAACTTATTAAAGGAGCCATTCAACTCAATGCACGTGATTGGAAAACTAATTCAATTATGTTTGTTTTTTAGTATGCACAGCTTTCTCATAGACTTTTCTCTGATCAATGGTCCCTCCACTTTGATGTTTTTGGGAGAAAAATATATTGGAATTATGTACTGAAATGAAATTGATGGAAAGTGAGAGGTTACTCTTTGCGTGACATAGGGGTTCAGAAGTGTCCTACCTGAATGCTTGACACTATGTCACATGGTATATCATAGGTAACAAGCTTCAACAAATGCGGCCTCTCCAAACAGAAAGATACTAAGAAAGGTTTTTGTCATGAATGGTCCTTGAATTTTTCAAAAGTCCTCATTTGAATTCTCAAACTTTCGAATCAATCAATGTGATCCTTAACCCTCTGTTTGGATGAAGAAATTGAAACCCTGAAAAACAAAGGAAAAAAATTACATATGTTGCTCAACAAGGCTGTGTACTCTCCTTGATGAAACCTAAATGTGGAACCTTGAATGGAAATCAGATGAGTTCGTTGAGGAAAAATTTGAGTTCTAGGACTAAATTGATCTATATTTGATGAAATAAGTTGGTTAGGTGATGATACGCGATTAGCTTTAACAAAGTTTTGTTGGAATGCAACAACAAAGACTAAATTGATGTGACACCAAAATATAAAGGACTTATTAATTGATTTGAACGTTTGAGGACTAAAATAAGAACTTTTAAAATAGAGTACCTAGCCCATAATAAAAACCCGTCCTGAGAAACTTGTTTCATTGTTTGACGAGATTGTGGATTGACATTCATGCCAACGTATTATCGTCACAACAAGAGAGAAGACTTCCCTTGCTTTTTGATGCCAAAGAGCTATCCATATGTTACTGCAATGGTATTTTCCTATGGTCAAAATGGTCTGTCAATTTGGTTGTGCCCTCCCTCCACCTCTGTATTCTCTATGATTTCTCTACTCTCATTTAAAATAGGGTTAATCATTTTATTAGTCCCTGAATTTAGAACCGATTTGCATTTGAGTCCCTCAATTTCCAATATGTAATTTTTTCCTTTGCTTTTCAGGGTTTCAATTTCTTCATCCAAACAGAGGGTTAAGGATCACATTGACTGATTGGAAAGTTTGAGAATTCAAATGAGGACTTCTGAAAAAATCAAGGACCATTCATGACAAAAACCTTTCTCAATATCTTTCTATTCGGAGAGGCTGCATTTGTTGAAACTTGTTACCTACGATATACCATGTGACATATGTCAAGCATTCAGGTGGGACACTTTTGAACCCCTATGTCACGCAAATAGTAACCTCTCACTTCCATCAATTTCATTTCAGTATGTAATTCCAATATATTTTTCTCCCAAAAACATCAAAGTGCAGGGACCATTGATCAGAGAAAAGTCTATGAGAAAGCTGTGCATACCCAGTGGCGGATCTGTGTGAAGGGCGGGGTGGGTGCCCGCCCATCCAAAGATTTTTTTATCATTTCGAAACCTATATATGTTATATGGGCAGCCCAAGTTAAGAGCTTAAAAGCTAACCCAATATACACACATGCCCATCCAACTTCAAAGTGGTCCTAGCTTTTGTCTCTTTTCCTTTGGTACACCAACTTTTCTCCCTTTTCTCTCTTATATTCTACAGACCCGCCGAGGACAACAACAACATCCTTTTACCCTCTTTATTTTCTGCATCTTTCTATTATACTGGCTGGGTAGTGGGGCAACTTACTAGCTTGTCCTCTCCTTTCTATAACCAGAAATAATTTCTAATTCTCTCATTTTCTATATATCTTTAATTATAGTTTTAATTTAAAACTTAATATTTTAGGGTTTTATTTATGTATAGATGTATTTGAGGGTAAGGCTTATTACATCCCTCTAACTAGGTGTATGTTTTTCTGATTATTAATGAAACTCACTCGTACCGTCAAGTTTAGTATGTAAATTCCGCCCACCAGGCTTTCCATTTCTGGATCCGCCACTGGTGCATACTAAAAAACAAACATAATGAATTAGTTTTCCAATCATGTGCATTGAGTTGAATGGCTCCTTTAATAAGTTATCTTGTCAATTCTTAGTTAAAACCAATGAAAACGCTCGTTCTAAGGCCTCTCAAACTCTCAATAGCAGCCAAGTCAAGTGATAAAGACAACGAATATACAAGTTTCTATTTATACCCTACAAATCTCAGTTCAACCAACAAAAATGTTTTGCGCATTAATGTCTTAATTATTTATGGCAAACAAAATTGTAGAAAACAAATCTAACCTCAATTATGTTGTCTTGGGCAGCCTCTCTATATGAAATTTATTAATAGGGTTAATTGAATTTTAAATGTGTTTTTTATAATAAAAAATATATTGTTGGGTGAACTTGAATATTTACATGGTTTAATTAAAACATCTATAAATATATGATAGAAATGTGTTCTTGGCTCATGGGTAATAATAGGAAGGAGAAAACGGCATTCAAGTATCAACCTCATCTAAAGTTCAGCGATTTTTATGGCATTAATGATATTTGTGTGATAATGGAATGATAAATTGTGTGCTTATTTGACGGGTACTTCAATTACGCATTTCTATTCCTTTCTGTATGAATTTATCCAATAACCGATGTTTTGTACAGTAAATCAAAGCAATAAACGACTCTACAATTTATGGGTAGCGTAGCTCTGCTCAAGTCTGGTGAGAGATTAAAGAGGGAAAAAAGAAGAAGTTGAAAATGGACTATTAATGCTTCTAAGGAGTAAAGCCACGTGAGTTTAATTTCTGATTCGCTTAAGGCAACTGAGAATAGCCATGCACCAAGAAAAAATAATAAATTAATGTGCCAAGCACATTATTCAAGCATATAGCTAGTGATGAGCTGTCACTTCCATCCATTTCATTTCATTAATGACATTTAACTATAACTATAAAGAACGAGAGACAAAGACTTTGACTCCAGCCATTATAAGAACAACCACTGAGGTGAAAAATAACTTATTCAAGAGCACAAGGAATAGGCTTTTTGCACGCAATTTGTATCTAAATTTCATTCACTATGTTATCTTCTTTATTACAATTCTAACAATGACAGCAAGCTCAATCAATAGTAAAAAAGACTTGGCCTGACTTTGAGGAATGGGAGATTTGAAGTAAACAAATAAATCTTTGTCAAGCATTCAGGTGGGTGGGACACATCTAAACCCCTATGTCATGCATATGGTTATCTCTCACCTCCATCAATTTCATTTCATTATTTCATCCAGAAAATTCAAAATTGGCATTTAAATTTAGAGAATGAAAGACTGAGACCTTTACTCAAAAGAAAACTGATCCGAAAGACTTTTCAATGCTCAACTGAACCCTAAAGACTAACCCACACTATATATAAATAGTAAGGCACGGCCCATACAATATACGTATACCACACAAACAATAATCATGACATCTTTAGCTTCCGCTAAACTATGCTTCATGCCTTATTGCCTTGTCATCTTGTTTGTTTCATCACCAAATTGGGTTGCTTTTCCTTCTGCTACTTCTACTTCTCATACTGAAGCAAAGGCTCTTCTCAAATGGAAAGCCAGCTTATTTCTAAATCAAGCCCTCAATAACCTCACCTGGTACGACCCTCCCACTCATAATATTAATGCCACCAATTCTTCCAGCACCAATCCAAAACCAAGAACAAGCCCATGCACTTGGACTGGTGTTTCATGCAACGCAGCTGGAAGTGTCAGCAAGCTAAACCTTTCCACTTGTGGTATTCAAGGTACGCTATATGAGTTTTCATTCTTGTCCTTTCCTAATCTTGAATATCTTAACCTCGGTGTCAACAAACTCTTTGATGCCATCCCACCTCAAATCAATTACCTCTCCAAACTCCACCATCTTGATCTCTCCAAAAATCAGTTTTCCGGGAGAATCCCACCAGAAATCGGTCTCCTGAGAAATCTTACCTACCTCTATCTCTATCGTAATAAACTTTCTGGTTTGATTCCTAAGGAGATAGGAAACTTGAAATCTCTTGTAGATCTAGAGTTGTCCCACAACAATTTAACTGGTCTCATTCCTCCAAATATTGGTAACTTAATAAACCTAAACACTTTGTACTTGCATTCCAATCAACTTTCTGGTTTGATTCCTAAGGAGGTAGGAAACTTGAAATCTCTTGTAGATCTAGAGTTGTCCTACAACAATTTAAGTGGTCTCATCCCTCCAAATATTGGTAACTTAATAAACCTAACCACTTTGTACTTGAATGACAATCAACTTTCTGGTTTGATTCCGAAGGAGATAGGAAACTTGAAATCTCTTATAGATCTAGGGTTGTCCCACAACAATTTAACTGGTCCCATTCCTCCAAATATTGGTAACTTAATAAACCTAAACACTTTGTACTTGCATTCCAATCAACTTTCTGGTTTGATTCCTAGGGACATAGGAAACTTGAAATCTCTTGTAGATCTAGAGTTGTCCTACAACAATTTAAGTGGTCTCATCCCTCCAAATATTGGTAACTTAATAAACCTAACCACTTTGTACTTGAATGACAATCAACTTTCTTTCTGGTTTGATTCCCAAGGAGATAGGAAACTTGAAATCTCTTGTAGATCTAGAGTTGTCCAAGAATCAACTCAACGATTCAATTCCAGCCTCTTTTGCCAACTTGAGCAACTTGGAGATCTTATTCCTACGTGATAACCAACTTTCCGGCTCCATTCCCCAAGAGTTAGGGAACCTCAAGAATTTGACTCGACTGCACTTGGATACAAACCAATTGTCTGGTTATTTGCCCCCAAATATCTGCCAAGGTGGAAAACTCACAAACTTGTCAGTAGGCACAAACTATTTGACTGGTTCAATCCCCAAAAGCTTGAAAAATTGCTCGGGCTTAGTGAGAGTCCGTCTTGACCAAAACCAATTGACGGGCAATATATCTGAAGACTTCGGTGTTTATCCGAATCTTGATTTTATGAATATAAGCCACAACAACTTGTATGGAGAAATCTCACACAACTGGGGACAATGCCCAAAGCTGAAAACCCTACTAATGGCAGGAAACAACCTTACTGGCAGCATACCACCTGAGATAGGCAACGCAACCCAAATTCATGTGTTGGACCTTTCTTCAAATCATTTAGTTGGGTTGATCCCAAAAGAATTCGGGAAGTTGTCTTTATTGGTGAAGTTGATGTTGAATGGAAATCAACTTTCGGGTCGTATATTGTCGGAATTCGGATCATTGAATGATCTTGAATATCTTGACTTGTCAACAAATAAATTCAGTGACTCAATTCCGGGCATTCTAGGTGACATGCTCAAATTATACCATTTGAATTTGAGCAACAACAAGTTATCTCAAGCAATTCCTTTACAGTTGGAGAAGTTAGTTCAATTGAACGAACTGGATTTAAGTCATAATTCACTTGGAGGCAGTATACCATCAGCAATGAGCAATATGAAGAGTTTGGTGACGCTCAGTCTTTCCCACAACAATCTTTCGGGTTCCATACCATCAAGTTTTGAAGACCTGGGTGGCTTGTCGTACGTTGACATATCCTACAATCACTTAGAAGGTCCCCTTCCCAACATCAGTGCATTTCGAGAAGCTCCACCAGAAAGATTGAAAGGTAACAAGGGATTGTGCGGCAAAGTTGGAGCTCTGCTGCCACCCTGCAATGCACTTGGCTCAAAAAAGGACCAAAGGGTCATATTCTCTGTTCTAGCTGTATTTGTACTTCTATTCGCTCTCTTTACAATTGTCTTTGTAATAGTGCAAAGAAAGAAGAACCATCAAGATACTAAACAAAACCACATGCATGGAGAAATTTCCTTTTCGGTTTTAAATTTTGATGGAAAATCAATGTATGAGGAAATCATAAGGGCAACAGAAGATTTTGATTCCACATATTGCATTGGGAAGGGAGGACATGGAAGCGTCTACAGAGTGAATTTGTCATCTGGAGAGGTAGTGGCCGTGAAGAAACTCCATCTGCTATGGGATGGCGAGACAGAATTTCAGAAGGAGTTCTTGAATGAAGTAAGGGCACTCAGTGAGATAAGACATCGGAATATTGTGAAGCTCTATGGTTTCTGCGCACATAAACGACACTCGTTTTTGGTGTATGAGTATCTTGAAAGAGGTAGCTTGGCTGCAATGTTGAGCAAAGATGAAGAAGCTAAAGAGTTGGAGTGGAGTAAAAGGGTGAATATTGTTAAAGGCTTAGCTCATGCCTTGTCTTACATGCACCACGATTGCTTGCCACCGATTGTACATCGTGACATCTCAAGCAAGAATATTTTATTGGATTCTGAATATAAGGCATGTGTTTCAGACTTTGGCACTGCTAAGTTTTTAAATCCAGACTCAACTAATTGGACTGCCGCTGCAGGCACATATGGCTACATGGCACCAGGTAATATTGTGATTCCCTTGTTCTCTATATTTAGCACTTTTTAAGCTTTTGCTTTTAGACCAATGCTTCATTTTCATCATTAGGAGCGATTAACATAAACACATTTTCACTTCTCTTAAACTATAAACTAATAAGTTGATTTATGCATGATACAATTTCGTTAAAATTCCCTTGAATAGTTATGTCTATAAACTAATAATGCCACTTCTCTGTGGTTTTCTCTGAGCAGAGCTTGCTTACACAATGGAAGTGAATGAGAATGCGATGTTTATAGCTTTGGTGTGGTCACATTGGAAATAATTATGGGAAAGCATCCTAGAGATCTTTTCTCATCTTTCTCATCAATCTCTTCATCCTCCTCCTCCTCATCATCATTTGCATTACCAGCCCATCAAATAGAAATTGTGGATGTTTTGGACCAACGCATTTCCCCTCCTATGCATCAACTTGCAAGCGAAGTGGTCTCTCTTGTGAAGATAGCATTTTCATGCTTGAATTCTAGCCCGAAATCTCGTCCAACAATGAAACAAGTTTCTCATTTCCTCTCAACTGAGATGCTGCATTTTGTCGAAGCCGATACATATGATGACATGTGGTGAATTGCTTGCTCTTGATCCTTTGGCTACTTGATCATAATGTGCTTCTTTTTTATGCATATTTCACTTTGCCTGTGTCTTCTGTTTAGAAAGATTATCCATAGATGTTTCCTTCTTGTAATTTATGTCATGCACATGTGTGCATGCTATGACTTTATTTAGGATGCTTTACAATTTGTTTATCCTTAACATAAATACTTATTGGAGAATTTTCCGTACAGTTTGTTTATCCTTGTAAGGAAAAACAAAATGAAATAAAACAAGGTTTTATTTAGGGATCTTGAGCCTGTGCATTTAGTATCATGCATTTACACGCATTTAATAAAACATTAAACATTAGATTAATCTAATGAGTTTTAATGAGTCCATCAGAATAATTGTATACTAAACCTCACAACTGCCGCACCTTATTATATGTATTTGATAACATTGAAATAAAAAATTTAAATTTAAATCAAGCAGCAACCACCTCTCTCCCCAACCCAGCCCCCACACTGCCAGCCAATGGCCAACCCTCACTCTCTTTTCCACTCACACACGCACGTAGGTCGACTTGGTTTAATTTGCAAGTTTAATTGTAGAATTGTGCGAATTATTTTTCCTTTATTTGCAGATTTGTTAATATAACCATGTATGGCGAGAGAGAGAGAGAGAGAGAGAGAGAGAGAGAGAGAGAGAGAGAAAGAGGGGGGGAGGGGGATAAGGGGCTGGGTGGAAGAGTTGATGCTTGTTGAGATATTTTTTTTTTTGTTATTGTTATGATATATTTTTAATATTTTATAATGTGGATTAATTAATATGCATTAGATGAATTTATGGTTAACGTTCATTTAAATGGGTGTAAATGCACCGATGTTAAATATAGAGACTCAAGATCTTTTGCGTAATAATTTTATATACTCCGTGTAAACCGCCCCAAAATCATAAACAATTAAATTGTGAAAATTAAATGACCAAGACCAATATAACAGGAACAAACACCATATATATATATATATGGTGTTTGGTAGCTATCCATATATAGTAATATAGTATGGCCCTTGCAATTATCGCCGCGTCAAATACTATATTTGTTCCTTTTGTAAAACGGTGATGCTTTCACTCTGCACCAAAGCTCTGTTTGTATCAGAAGAAAATAATGCATTTGGGATAATTTATCTAAAAAGAAAAAAAAACAATGATAGTTACGTAACTGTTGAAAAGGACCTGATTTGGAGAAATTATACAATAGTATGGTACTACCACGTGGCACTGTTAGGTGGTAGTATGCACCAATTGCATAGCGACATGTGGCGTGGCTGTCTTTTAAGAGGGAGAATGTTAACATCCAGATTTAATGGTAACACCATTAGAGCATCCACAGTGGGGGGGTGTATTTTAGGGTGTAAAGCCACTTTTACATCACCTTTACACCTCCGGGGGGTATAAATACGTTTTTTGCTCCAATGGGAAACGATGGAAATCTAAAGATGTATAATTGATTTGATTGTCTTAATTCGTTTTTGTGCTAAATTTGTATTTTGTGTTTACTTTATCAAATTAATTTTTTTTTGTATTAGGTTAATTTTATTTTTTCAAACAAATAGACCTAAAAATATTTAAATTCGGAGAATATATGATTTCATCCAAAAATTCTCAAAATTGCTCCGCATGTGAATTTTTTTCCAGCGATTACTGTAGCAATGGGTCCCACTCTTTTATGATGACTTTTCTCCACTTTTCCTCTTCTTTTCTCGGGTGGGTCCCACGTGCAAGAGATGTAAAAATAGATGTAAATATACATTTTATTTTACATACCCATGGTGGTGATGTATATTTACATCCATTTACATCTCCCTATTGGAGACGATTCCGGTGAATCGGGGTGTATATTTAACATACACCCCCCCCACTGTGGATGCTCTTAGTAACCAACTCTCTTTTTGTGTTTTTTGTTTTTATTTTAAGAAATAGAAAAGAAACCCTAAGACATGATTACTTTTATCTAAATCTGCACCACCGTTCTAAATAAAATTAAATTAAAACTTATGCACCACCGCTCTGAGAAGAAGGAAGAATGGTGCAGCCATAAAACTATGTTGTTATTTTCCGATTTCTGAGAAGAAGGAAGACTGGTGCAGCCATACCGTTCGATTTCTACAGGTTATTTATTTTCCAATTTTTGAATGTTATTTTTATTCGCCCAATTTGACCTCTTCGTTTTATCATTTGCTGCTTGCTTCATGCTTTTTTTTTTCCCGACTTTTTTTTTTTTTTTTTTTTTTTTTTTTTTTTTTTTTTTATTTTTTTCTTTTTTTTTTTTTTTTTTTTTTTTTTTTTATTTTGATTTCGATTTTGTAATACCATTACATATAAAACAAGTCCTACCCATGACCAAACTTTCTCCGTCTCTCCTGTGTGCTCTTCTTTCTTTTTCTTGTTAAATAATTTTTGGCATCTTCTTTATTTCCGATTTGGGGTTTAATACTTTTTGGCTTTTCTTTGTCAAATCTGAATCTTACTGCAATTTCTTGGTTAAGTTTCTTCAATTTTTGTCAAATCTAAATCTTACTACAATTTTTTGTTCTTTTTTTGGCTTGATTTGCTTCACTTTTGGGGTTTTGGTTGTGTTTTAAGTTGTGAGATGGAAGGGGTTTGATTTAGGTTTGTTTTTTTTGTAGCATTCTTGCATTTTCTTGTTGCAATTAATACATGCTGATTTTATTTCTTAATTTATGGGATGTAGAAGTTCATGCAATTTGGGTATATTATTAATGGATAATACTTATTGCTCTGTTTTTTTGCTATTTGTTTTACCTAACAATTTGAGTATATTATTGCTGGGGGTGAGAACTTTGGATTTTATTTTTTTGGCATATGTCCACCCCTGAAGGTAATTGTTGAGCTAATGGGTCTTATAGCTTCTTTGTTCTCACTTTATTTCCTTTCATTAGATTAAATGCAGTTCCTTTCTTTTGAGTAATCACTTTATTTACTTTCATTTGATATGCTCTTCAAACTTTTATGGAACTGCAGCGTGTCATTTGGATTCCATGGAAGGAGAAGGAATGTTGTGGGAGATGGATGGTACATCTCTTTGAGCTTGTTTCTCTAATGTTTTTACGAGTTCAAGTTTGTCTGGCAGTTTATTGCAAGAATGGAAGACAACTATAATTTGGATTGGATTTCTTTAGTTTCTTCTTCTGGTGCCCAGATTGAAATAGCTATTTGTTTAGTTTGGGTTGCTGTATAACGACATGTACTTCTTGTCATTTGTTTGTACTTTTTACTGACTAAAATTTATGTTTAATGAAAATTTCATTCATTTAAAAAGTTTTTGGTAATTCTTCAATAATTTTATAATTTTTTGGCCTTGTACTATGAGATTGTGTTGTGCTACTTCTTCTCATTGATCAAAGTGGTCCACTGTTCAATTTATATGCCTTACAACAATTCTCTACCCAAAATTCCGTAAGAATAAGAGAAAATAATCATTGCTTTGTAATCTCAGTGTTTCTTCCAACTAAAAAAAGAAAAGGTGGTAGAAGAAAAACATGATCATATAGTCCATTAACAAATGATGACCATGAAGTACATCGAGTTTGAATCAAAATAAGTAACCATTTCCAAGCGTAAACGATTCTTGCATCTGCACCCAAAATTATAAGTTAAAAACAGCTAACTTATAATTATTTTAGTCTTAGACAATACCTTAAGGAGACAGTGGTGCAGATTTCGATAAAAATAATTATGTCTTAGGGTTTCTTTTCTATTTCTTAAAATAAAAACAAAAAACAAAAAAGAGAGTTGGTTACTAACAGTGTTACCATTAAATCTGGCTGTTAACATTCTCTCTCTTAAAAGACAGCCATGCCACATGTTGCTATGCAATTGGTGCGTACTACCACTTGGCAGTGCCACATGGTGGTGCTGTACTATTGTATAATTTCTCCCTGATTTGACATGAAAATGGTATTTTGACATGAATAAATAATTATAGAAAACAGCTAAAATGGTTTAGACCAGAGTTTATCTTCTTTCTTTCTTTTATGTGACTTTTCATGTTTGGGGTGTTTGTGCGCAGGCGTTCATAAGGAAATAGACCAGATTGGTAGTGGGTAGGTTTTTGGCATTGGGAAACTTAAAATTTGTGATAGCAGCGTTGGGAGAATTATTTTGCAAAGAGGAGAGAGAGAGAGAGAGAAAGAGAGAGAGAGAGAGAGAGAGAGAGAGAGAGAGTGAATCTGATACATGGGTGCGATGGGTGTTGAGGTGGGGTGGGCGTTGAGGTGGAGGTGGTTGCAATGGGGAAAGGGGGAGGCAAAGTGAGGAATTGTTTTTTTCTTCTAATGTTATTTTATTTGTTTAATTAATTTCTAGAAAAAAGGTATATAGAGGTGAGCTCCACATATTACCACGTCCTCATCTCACATTGGTGGAAAATAGCGAGTTGGGATACAAAGACCATATTTAATTAGAGTATATAATTAAATATTTTATCCATTTGGAGGTGCGCTTCACTTGCCACATCACCCACCCAATTGGTGGATACTGATCCATGCGTATGAAATCACAAAAACACCCATATCACGTCATCAAAGTTAACAGACTTGTCGATGGAGTTGACAGTAAGGGCAAAGTCAGTCATCAAACATTGATCAATGGATTGAAGTGAGCCATTTTGAGTTTGGGAGGGAGGGGGAGATGTGGGATTTGACCGAAGTT